GAGTTGGTGGACTAAGTGGGTATGATCTGTCCTCAATGTGGGTGGGGTCACCTAACCAGATGAGGGCCCACATAGAACAAAAAAGGAGATAAAAGGATTTGCCCTCTCTTTCTCCTAAAGCTGGCATACTCTCCTCCTCCTGTACATGCTCTCTTGCCTTGGGGATTCTAGAATTTACACCAGCAGCCCCCAGGGTTCTCAGGCCTTTGGCTTTAGACCGAGAACTACACCACAGGCTTACCTAGCTCTAAGACTTTTGGAATTAGACTGAGCCATGCTACCAGCAGCCCAGGGTCTCTAGCCTGTTGTGGAACTTCTCATCCTTCATAATCACATGAGTCAATTCCCCTGATAAACCCCTTATCATCTGTCTGTCTATCTATCTATCTATCTATCCATCCATCTATCTATCTCCTATTGATTTGGTCTCTCTGGAGAACCCTAATATAGTAAGTTATACATACTATTTTAGTTGATTAAAAAGAAAGGCACCCACATCTAGATTCATTCTAGAAAGTTTTGAAGTACATAGATTAAAAAAAAAAATTCTAAGACCATGTAGACAGAAAAATCAGATAACTTTCAAAAAATAAAAAAATGTGGGCCGGGCGCAGTGGCTCACACCTGTAATTCCAGCACTTTGGGAGGCCAAGGCGGACGGATCACGAGGTCTGGAGATGGAGACCATCCTGGCTAACATGGTGAAAACCCATCACTACTAAAAATACAAAATTAGCCGGGCGAGGTGGCGGGCGCCTGTAGTCCCAGCTACTCGGGAGACTGAGGCAAGAGAATCGCTTTAACCTGGGAGGCGGAGGTTGCAGTGAGCTGAGATCGCACCACTGCACTCCAGCCTGGGCGACAGAGCGAGACTCCATCTCAAAAAAAAAAAAATTATTTCTCCTCAGAAATACTAGATAAGAGATGATAATGGTAACATGTACAGTTGTTAAAGAGGGGAAAAAGTGATTCAAGAATGTTATACTTCAATTAGTAGGGTTGTTACAAATAAAAATATATAAAAAAAAGAATGCTATACCTAGCCAAGGATTGTTCATAAGTGAGTACATCAAAAAGCCAATCTGAATATGGGAGGGCTCAGAAAATGTACCATTCATCCAGTCTTATAAAAAAAAAAAATTGAAGCTATTTCCCGCCAACTTAAGAGCTCAAGAATGAAGAAAGTCTAAATACTTATGAAATCATTTTAAACTGAATGAAAATATAACACAATAATAGTAATTCCTAGAAAAGACATAATACAAAAAGTTACAGAGAAAATGTGAGTCCCAAATCCCAAGTTTTATTAAGTAACAGTGGAGAATATGGGTGCAAAAGGATAATGGAGTAAATACCCATCCAATTCCTTATTTGATATGAAGTCCAGAGATATTGGTTAACTAAACTGTCAAACATCCACTTATAGGATACCCATAGCCATAAAAATCATGAGGAAAGGCCGGGTGCAATGGCTCATGCCCACAGTCTTAGCCCTTTGGGAGGCCAAGGCAGACAGATTGCCTGAGCTCAGGAGTTCGAGACCAGCCTGGGCAACACAGTGAAACCCTGTCTCTACTAAAATACAAAACATTAGCTGGGCACGGTGGCATGCACCTGTAGTCCCAGCTACTCGGGAGGCTGAGGCAGGAGAATTGCTTGAACCCGGAAAGCAGAGGTTGCAGTGAGCCGAGATCACGCCACTGCACTCCAGCAAGGGCGACAGAGTGAAACTCCGTCTCCAAAAAATAAACGATAGTAAAAAACAAATAATGAGGATGCTCTTTATGTTCTGTTACAAAGTATCTATAAAATAAATTTATTCTAAAAGGGAAAGCACAATGCAAAAATGTGTCTAGCATGCTACAATTTGTACAACAAAAGAGAATAAACATTATTCAAGAGAAATTGGCCGGGCGCGGTGGCTCACGCCTGTAATCCCAGCACTTTGGGAGGCCGAGGCGGGCGGATCACAAGGTCAGGAGATCGAGACCACGGTGAAACCCCATCTCTACTAAAAATACAAAAAATTAGCCGGGCGCGGTGGCGGGCGCCTGTAGTCCCAGCTACTCAGGAGGCTGAGGCAGGAGAATGTCGTGAACCCGGGAGGCGAGGCTTGCAGTGCAGTGAGCCGAGATTGCGCCACTGCACTCCAGCCTGGGCGACAGAGGAGACTCCGTCTCAAAAAAAAAAAAAAAAAAAAAAAAAAGAGAAATTGGTAACCGTGGTTGCTTGGGGAAGTGTTACTGGGTGTCTGGGAAATAGAGGTAAGAAAAACACTTCATTGCAAATAATGCTTTGTCCTTTGTTCTTCTGTAAATGAACCACGTAAATGTTACTTATTTTTAAAAATTAACATTTTAATTTTTTTTTTTTTTTTTTTTTTTTTTTTTTTGAGTTGGGGTTTCTCTCTGTCCCCCAGGCTGGAGTGCAGGGGCATGATCTCGGTTCACTGCAAGCTCCGGGTTCACGCCATTCTCCTGCCTCAGCCTCCTGAGTAGCTGGGACTACAGGTGCCCGCCACCGCGCCCAGCTAATTTTGTGTGTGTGTGTGTGTGTTTGTTTTTTGGGGTTTTTTTTGTATTTTTAGTACAGATGGGGTTTCACTGTGTTAGCCAGGATGGTCTCAATCTCCTGACCTCATGATCCACCCGCCTTGGCCTCCCAAAGTGCTGGGATTACAGGTGTGGGCCACCATGACAGCCTAAATGTGTTGTTTTTAAGAATCAAGTAAGGCTGGGCGCGGTGGCTCACACCTGTAATCCCAGCACTTTGGGAGGCCGAGGCAGGCGGATCACAACATCAAGAGATGGAGACCATCCTGGCTAACATGGTGAAACCCCATCTCTATTAAAAATACAAAAACTAGCCAGGCGTGGTGGTGGGTGCCTGTCGTCCCAGCTACTCGGGAGGCTGAGGCAGGAGAATCGCTTGAACACGGGAGGCGGAGGTTGCCGTGAGCCGAGATGGCGCCACTGCACTCCAGCCTGGCAACAGAGCGAGACTCCGTCTCAAAAAAAAAAAAAAAAAAAAAAAAGTAAATATTCATCAGTGACTTCAGCACATATGTAAATCTAGCTTATGATAAAGACATTACAAAATTTAAAAATTCAATAAATGATCCTGAAGCAACTGGTTTTCTATTTGGACAAAAAAGACAATGTTTAGTCCTCATTTCACAACCTGATGATAATAAATTACAGACTGATTAAAGAGTTATAAAAATTAACTATAAAAATATTAGAACAAAATGAATCTTAGAGCAATCTAATACATTTAACTTCATAAAAACAGACACATCATATAAAATTAAAAGATATACCAAAAGCTGGGAACAATGCTTTTCACAAATATAAGAAATTAATATTTTTTAAAGAGCCAATAAAATTGAAAAATAAGACAAACTTGACAAAAACCTAAGTCTTCAGTATAAAAATGGGCAAAGGAAATAAACAGAAAATGAAAATGGCTAAGAAACACGTAACGACATGTGAACTCACTAATCATCAAAGTAATCCAAATTAAAGACGGACTTCTGCTGCCTATCAGACAAGCCAAATTCCAGGTGACCAGGACACTCATAACCACAGGTGAATGTATAAATTGGCACAGACTTCCTGGAAAGCATTATGGGATATGTGCCAACAGCCTTAAACATGTTCCAACTTCTGACTCCGTAATTCTAATTTTGTGTAGAATGTCTCCCCTGGAATTTAATGCAACTTTATAATAGGAAAAGAAACTGAAATAATCAAAATATTTAATAGAGAAATGTTAAATTCTGATATATTCATATAAAAAATATTGTGCCAATGTTAAAATCATATTAAAATATTTAATGACCTGAAAAATGTTCAAGATACACTATAAGTGAAAAAAGCAGAATAAATACCATCATATGCTATCACAATTTGAGGATGATACCTGTACAAATCATACAGATTTTAAATACTGAAAGGAAATGTAACAAAATCTTAACAATAATTTTCTATATAATTATTTAAATTTATTATTTTTAGTTTTCTATATAAAGTTTCTATAATTAATATGTGGGAGGAGATGCCATATTTTAAATAAAGAAATAATATAACTATAAAAATGTTTCCTGGCCAGGCACAGTGGCTCACACCTTTGGGAGGCTGAGGCAGGCAGATCGCTTGAACCTAGGCATTCAAGACCAGCCTGGGCAACATGGCAAAATCTCATGTCTACAAAAAAAGTGCAAAAATTAGCTGGGTGTGGTGGCATGCACGTGTAGTTCCAGCTACTTGGGAGGATGAGGTGGGAGGATCAATTGAGGCTGGCAGGTCAAGGCTGCGGTGAGCCATGATCAAGCCACTGCACTCCAGCCCGGGCAACAGAGCGAGACCCTGTCTCTCAAATAAACAAATACATTTTTTCCTGGCATCGACATGCTCAGGATCTCCACTGAAAAAATTAAATGCTGCAATAAGAAGCAATTCATCAACAACACCTTGACGATGCATTAGTATGCCTTCCATCTTTCTTATCCACCTTTGGTTCAGAACTTCATACAGTCACATAGGCAAACCATGTGTAGAACAGATACTTCACTAGGACAACTCCAGCGGGCCAGCCAGCAAGAGCACTACCTCTTAACATAATGAATAGCCATGTGCAGACACCATAACAAACTACAGACAACTCAACTGTAATGGTGTTTCCACGATACACTTGCCTGTTCAGAAAGTCTTCAATCAAGACCACCGACTTACGACCCACACACCACCAGGTGAAAGCACTGCTGAAATAATCTATGAAGCGACAACTCGAGTCTGAAGCGCCCCGAATCCCATGCCCAGCCTCCTAAGTGTCCCTCCCCATCCCCTGCTTGTTTTCTCTGGCAGGATGGTTTACAGTATGTTCATTTCCAACCCAACTAATAAAGGAGCTCTTTAAAGTTCAGAAAAATACTGCTTATTGGGTTCCTGGGTCCAGCATGTGCGCAATACATACATAAGCAGAGAACACGTGTACAGTACCTTCCCAAAGCTGCGTCGGCTTGGCAGAATTTTCCCCACTCATTAAAACAACAAAAGATGCAGCTGCTCGAACTGTAGCCTGCCATGTTGACATGGCAACGGGTGGCTCCTGGCATGGAAAAAGGGCCCTGTTGTTTACGGGAGACCCCACAGTATAAACACACGGCCTGCAGAAGAGAGACAAAGAGAGAAAGGGGAGAATCTTTAAAATGAGTTGTCACTTTTCGCACCACCGTGGTAGTGCAGGTTAAGTTGAGCTTTCAAAGAAAACATCTGAAACTTTGTAGTTGACTGGTTTCAGAGCATTTTGAACCGAAGCTGCCAAGGGCTGGCTATGTGAATAGCTGAGTAGTTATTTCTCTCAAATGAATTACTTAAATATGTAGAAAGAGGTGGTTTTTTTAAGGAGAAAAATATTTTTTGGATAAAGTTTTAAATACTAGCCAGCCAAGTTATAATTTATATTACCCTTGCCCCCCCACTCAGGCCCTGGTGCCTTCAAAAGAAAAGTTTGAGAGACATTCTTACAAACCTTTTGGAAAGCATTCCGGAAAAGAAAATATGTTTGGAGATCACTGAGATATTAATGCTTGGAAAAACAAGCTGGTGGTCTCAAATCCAGGGCTAGCAAGCAGATACCCCCAATCTTGGAAACCACCATCTCAAATGGAACCCTTGTGGGAACCCTTGTGTGGAGGCCAAGAACAGGGGCTGGCATATGAACAGGACTGCGGGTCACAACAACCAGGCTTGTGATGGGAAAGCCAAGGGTGCAGAGTCGCCACCAAAGTCACCGTGAGCAAAACCAGCGACACGGCATTGGGCTCGTTCTGCTGCGATTAGAAAGCACAGCCCCACCCAAACCAAGACAGATTCGTCCCACGATAAAGTCATGGTTGATAAAGATGGAAGAGATTCTCAAGATCAAAGGGTCCACTCTTGACACCAGAGTGAAAGGTACAAGACCGACTCCTCAGAAAAAAACTCAGGCAAATGTTTCTACTTTCTGTTTTTCAGTTATGACAAATATGTAGTTTTAGTCAGCTTGACTTATAAAGTAAATGAACAGAGCAAAGCACTACTTCTTTTGGATAAGCTGGTTTTCCTTTTTCATTAACATCATTATAACTGAGCATTTACTGTGTTCACACAACATGCGAGAAAACACAGAAAGATGGTTCGACTCCATCAGTCAGGGTCTAGTATGGAAAACGGAAACCAGTCTAGGTCTTAACAAACAGGTAATTTAATTTTGGGAATGAGTTTAAATGATAGAAGAGCAGAGAAACCAACCAGAGGACAGTAAGACAATCCAGGGATTAGCCACAGCAGTAATCAGCTGTGACTCCTCAGATTGGTGGAGCTGGGTGCTACTGGGTTACGAGGCAGGAGTCACCTGGCAGAAGCCAGAGTCACACTGGGGACTGTCCAGCGGGAGCTGGGACCACAGGAGACTCGGAGCCACAGTGCTGGCACACAGGAATAGCTGAGTAGCTATTTCTCTCAAAAATGAATTCACTTAAATATGAGAAAAAGAGGTGGCTCTTTAAGGAGAAAAATATTTTTGATAAAGTTTTAAATACTAGCCAGCCAAGTTATAATTTATATTACCTTGCCTCCACCAGGCTCCCAGGCCTAAAAGAAAAGTTTGAGAGACATTCTTACAAACCTTTGGAAAGCATTCCGGAAAAGAAAATATGTTTGAGATCACTGAGATATTAATGCTTGGAAACAAGCTGGTGGTCTCAAATCCAGGGCTAGGCAAGCAGATACCCCTAATCTTGGAAACCACTCATCTCAAATGGAACCTTGTGGGAACTCCTTGTGTGGAGGCCAAGAACAGGGGCTGGCATATGAACAGGATCATGGGTCACAACAACCAGGCTTAGATGGGAAAGCCAAGGGTGCAGAGTCGCCACCTCAAAGTCACCGCGGAGCAAACCAGCGACACGGCATTGGGCCTCGTCGCTGCGATTAGAAAGCACAGCCCCACCCAAACCAAGACAGATTCGCCCCACGATAAAGTCATGCTGATAAAGGATGGAAGAGACTTTGCATCAAAGGGTCCACTCTTGACACCAGAGTGAAAGTACAAGATCGACTCCTCAGAAAAAACTCAGGCAAATACTTACTTTGTTTTTCAGTTATGACAAATATGTAGTTTTAGTCATTGACTTATAAAGTAAATGAACAGAGCAAAGCACTACTTCTTTGGATAAGCTGGTTTTCCTTTTTCATTAACACTATAACTCAGAGCATTTACTGTACCACAACATGCGAGAAAAACACAGAAAGATGGCCTACTCCATCAGTCAGGGTCTAGTATGGAAAACGGAAACCAGTCTAGGTCTTAAATAAACAGGTAATTTAATTTTGGGAATGAGTTTAAATGATAGAAGAGCAGAGAAACCAACCAGAGGACAGTAAGACAATCCAGGGATTAGCCACAGCAGTAATCAGCTGTGACTCCTCAGATTGGTGGGAGCCGGGTGCTACTGGGTTACGAGGCAGGAGTCACCTGGCAGAAGCCAGAGTCATTGGGACTGTCGTTCAGCGGGAGCTGGGACCACAGGAGACTCGGAGCCACAGTGCGGACTGTCCAGCGGAGCTGGGACCACAGGAGACTCTGAGCCACAGTGCAGCGGACTGTCCAGCGGAGCTGGGATCCACAGGAGACTCAGAGCCACACTGGGGACTGTCCAGGGAGCTGGACCACAGTGAGACCCAGAGCCACACTGGGGACTGTCCAACGGGAGCTGGGACTCAGGAGACTCGGAGCCACAGTGTGGACTGTCCAGCGGAGCTGGGACCACAGGAGACTCGCCGAGCCACAGTGCGGACTGTCCAGCGGGAGCTGGGACTACAGGAGACTCCAGAGCCACACTGGGGACTGTCCAGCGGGAGCTGGGACCACAGGAGACTCAGCCACACTGGAGCTGCCAAAGGAAACCAGGTGGAGGAGAACTATGTTACCTCCGGCCAGCTCCTGCTTTCAAATCTTCCACCAGTAGCCCCCATGGGCCAAACCTAGGAAGCCAGAAGACAAGAGAGCCTAGGAAATGAAGGTCCTTGTCACTTAGAGAAGATCACAATAAGGGGAGAAAATGGATCTCAGCGCAAACAGGCAGTCGCTGTACGCTTATCCTACAAGTGTACACGCCATGATAACGTGAAGGTTTGACATGGGGCAGGGGAAGATCAGAAAGTCGAAACACCGTTGTACCGCCTGGCTTGCCAACTTCCTCAATGACTGCGGGGAAGCTCCTCACCTTCTGAGGCACAGGTAAAACGGGTGCTGGGCTGCTGAAGCGGGAGCAGGTCGTGGCGTCTATCGTCTGTTCTGTTCAATGAGCACCTCATTTGCCGAGGGTAACGCTGGTCGTGGGGCTTTCCCTGCCTGCACAGGGAAGAAATCCTCCCCAAAAGCCTGGCTTGCCAAGATGTTGGTCTCCTCTCTATAAGGCTGGCTTGCAGGCCATGCTAGCACATTATTACGCATTCCACTTGTGCCCTTAGTATGTGGCCCCCAAGGCTGCCTCCATCAGCCTCCACACCACTTCCCCAAAGAAACAATCGGATTTGAGATGAGGTCACATCTTAGAAATACTGCAGGACTTCGTAAGTGATGCGCTGAAGAAGAGGGAGAAGGAAAGGAAGACTTCTGTGAAGTAGCCAGCTGCCGAGCTGGCCTCCAGTAACCCCTTCCTCCTAACATTTACATCCTTCCACACTGTACCAGGTCTGTGTGCTCAAGCAGACCTGTGCGGAGCGAGCGGGCAGTCGCAGTCCACTTATCCTACAAGTACGCAGGCCTGATATGCAAAGGTCTGACCCGGGGCAGGGAAACGACCAACAGGAAACAGCAGAGGTGACGGCAAGTCACTTCAGAGACTATTTTAAAATCTGTGGTTTTCATCTGAGATGATCTTTTCTCGCTCTCTCCCCCATCGTTTACTCTGGGTCATGAGTGTCATGAAGTCACCCAGGCAGCCCAGGGAGGCACCCACATGGTAAGACACAGAGACTTTTGGTCAACAGCCAGTGAGGAACCAAGGCCTGCAACAGCCGTGAGAGTGAGTCTGAAAGAGGGTTTCCAGCTCCTGGCACACCCTGAGACACCTGCAGCCCCGGCCAACACTGGACGGTAACCTTGCAAGATATCCTGAGCAAGAGACACCGGCTAAGTTGTTCCTTGGTTCCCGAGCCTCAGGAACTGTGAGAGATAATAAATGTCTGTTCTTTTAAACTGCTAAGTGTGGGGGTAATCTGTTATGCAGACAGAGTTAACACAGACTTTTCTGAGTTTTTTGGCTCAAGTGATAAGATGGATGGTAAAGCTACTGAACAAGAAAGGAAGATCAGGATGGGTCTTGGGAGAAAGGCGGAGGGTGTGCACCTGTTTAATTTGCTTATAAAGGGCTTTACATGAGCACATGACAGAGGACACTTGTATGGACACAGAAAGGATGTTGACCTAATCCCAAACAGTGTGGTGTCCACGAATGGGTTCAAATGTCTGAAATCAGATCTGCCTCAGAAAATGTGAGAATGATGATTTGATGAAGAATGAAGCACAGATATTGTAGGCATATTTGAGTCAGTTGATGCGGTGGGGTGGGGGGCGGGGGCTTCGACTGACTGGATTAAAATCCACCATGTTGCCACCATCCTTTCCTTCCCAGTTCAGTATTATGCCCTCTTTAGCGATCTAGTTCTAGACATTTTGTTATAGAATTTTGTCCTGATCCCTTCTGACATGCTCTAGAAAGCTCCTTCTGCCAACCTGGCCAGGCCCCCAGCAAGCTCTCACCTCCACCCTCCCCAGTGTCCTCACAATTCTCTATTCCCACCCTCCTCTTTCCATGGCTGGGTTATCTTTTCTGCTAAAGTCTAACATTTTTTTCTAGCTTCCTCTTGGTATCCAGAGCTATCTCTCTCAACACGTAGATCAAGTTAGCAATCTAAAAGCCACACCCCATGGATATACCCATGTCTGATACGAGACTCGATCAACATGTAGACCAAGTTAGCAATCTAAAACCCACACCCCATGGATATACCCATGTCTGATACGAGACTCGATCACGTTCTCATTGAAATCCTTTCATAAGCAGGAAAACAATCACATAAGAGGGAGGTCTTAGGGTAGGCACACCTTGAAAATGTGAATTCTCTTTGTGCTCCCAGCCTATTCTTTTCTTGACCTTTTTCTCTTTATCAGCCGCAGGCTCACTCCTCCCTTCCCAACATGCCCAAATCAAGCCCTAGGGAGTTAAGAGTCTTTATAACCAATGGCTTTTTGCTCTTTTACAAGCTGACATCCTATGCATGTCTGACATCACAGTGCAAACCTGAAATCAATCTACAGTTGGGTAACTACATTTTAAGTATGAAGGTTTTATCCTCTGAATAAAGCTCTACTGGTGGAATCTTGGTCATCTACCAGCAAATTTAGGATGGGTGAACATGGGGCCTTCCCAGAGTCATGAAATCATACCCACTACACAGTGACTCCAGACTAAAGATGGCCCCTATCACGCACACATTCAAATGAGAACTAGATGGAGGGCAGAGTCCCCGCTTACCCATCCATGCCTTCCCCTCCACAGAAGGCAGGAAAATCTATGTGTGTCTATAAAAATGAATGTGTAAACACAGAAATAAATGCAGCTGTGTTTGTCTGACATGCACAGCCTTGCGCCTTGGCCATGCTGCTAAAATACTCATAGGACAGACGTGCAGGCAGCAGCCTGAAATTCTCCAACGCCTGTAACGTCACTATTTCTACATCGAGTAA